AACTGTATTATTGCACTGCCGCGTAATAGGTGCATTTAGCATTAAATTTACATATGATATATATATATATATATATATATATATATGTTTATGCATATGTACGTATACATATATATATATATATATATATATATATATATATATATATATGTATGCATGTATATAAATGAGTGTGCGCGTGCCTCGCCGAACCAATCGCTTATGGCTACGCGCCAAACCGATGCGTGTTATGCGCCACCTGGGGCCACATCAGGCCACCCCGTGTCCGATGCCGATGGCTGCGTGCGATGCCCGCAGAATGGCTTTGTTAATTAGAAGTCCGCCTTCAAGATCAATCCCGCGGCAGCCACGCATTCCACGATGCATTTCAGGCGTTGATAGCTATTTTGTCCGGCACGTTTTCTAATCAGGCGGTATAGTGGAACTGGTGCTTGTACCGGCTACATGCATTCGGATTCACCAATGGGGTGCAAACGAAGGCTGTAGATGTTTGGATACAAGACCGGCGTGATCAATTTGACGCACCACGTTTCTGTACAAAGCGCAATCGAGCACAAATGGCACAGCCGGCCTGGACACTACCTTCAGCTGAGGCGTCCACGCAATGGCGCGGCCACAATTTTTGCCGTGAGGATTATTGCTATGTCGCCACGGGCGGGGCTCAGCACGGTATCACGCCGAGCCGAGCTCCAATAGACGCCTCCTCGCGTCGCGTCCAGCCATTGATATTGGCGCGGCGGCTTGCGGGTGTGAGGGTAAAGCTTCGACGGGAGTATTCAAATAACTGCACCGTCAGCTGTGGGGCGAATGCCGGCAGCCGGCATTCGGAAAACATGTGGCCAGTCTTGGGCGCTGCACGTGACGTACATTCAGCGTGAGGGTGGTGCGTGAAAAATGTTCCTTTGTGTTGACGGAACGGTGGGAATCTGTTTAACGGCTGCGGGAACGGCGTTGCAGATTCGAGTGCCCCGAAATGAGATGGCATCTGGGGTCGATGATCACCAGCCAGACTGCCAGCCGGTGGAGAACAGAAAGAGCCTCGCGGTCGTGACCTGAGTTAAGTGCATTTAGTTGAAACCAGCATCGCTAGGAACTCCACTCAAGCCAAAGTTGTGGCTATCCTTTTGGCAGGACGCCAAGTTCGCCAACATACAGCGCCCACGACGCCCCCAGCCACGTGTTTTCGGTGGTAGAGGCGTGGCTGGGCCGGCTCAGACTCTTCACAAGGCGACAGGCGCGACCCAGCCAGAAGGATCGCCATGCGGGTGGGAGACCAGGCCCGTGGTGACATGGACAACGTGGACATCAGAGGCACTGACAATGTGCTGCCATCATTTGCCACTCGTTCAGGGCCATATCCGGCCTCATATGTTGTATTCTTGGCTAATGTATGAGTTAAACGTTACGTACACCGATTTCAAAGTCACTTTCACCCCTGACCTAAGGTATACGCACAAAGCACAGCGCTCATTCACGGGAAGTGGCGGCACGTGATTCCGATTCAGCTGGCAGTGGCTCCAAAGCCAAACAGTTTCTGGGGACAGCTGTGGCGTCTATGGCTCACCCGATGACCTAATTATAGAGCGGCTGTCTGATTGGTCGTCACGGCCAATCACGCCCCTTCCCCTAATCAAACAGGACGCGACGTAATGCGACATAAATTGGGACGGAAATCGCGCGAGCCCAGTATTATCAGATGAACCGAGAATAAAGTAGAGCGCGGGCACGTTGGAGAACGGTGTAGGGGGGCTGAATCAGCTTGGTGGGGTCAGAAGCAACCCATGAACCGTCGGCCCACGTTTTGATGAGCGCTTTAGTGAGGATCTGGCTGAATCCCGAATGCCAATAACTCCTGGTGTTCCAATGAGCAGCTTCATCAGCCGCGATTGGACCTGCTGTCCTCGAAAATGGGCACGCTCTGATTTGCTTCTTGCCGTTGAGGGTCATGCAATCAATGTGCTGATTTGACGCAGCGAACGCATTTCAGATGCGCGCGGTGCACAGATAGTGCCAAAATGACGGTAGCAGTGAAAGTGACCACATCGTTGGTGGATGAAGACCAATGTAGCAGGGCAGAGGCGATAAGGCCCGTGCTGGTCGGCGTTTCGCATTGCGAGTCCCAGCCTAAAGTAACAATGTTGCAAAACCGTGTCCAAATACTCGGGAATGGTTTATGACCAGGCACTTATCAGTTAGGGGCTTGATTAAAAGCTCGCATACTCACATGAACATGCCGTATGAGACGTGCGGCACGTTGTTTATGACGTGAGCTGCTTAGAAGGTACAGAACCTGTTCATTCACATCTTGACCAAATATTCAACAGTCCATCCGAACGTGGAAGCCACATTTATGACCCATAAGCATATCTTTGACGCCAGGATGACGTTACCTCCAACTCTTTTGTCGGTTTCTAACTTTTTCTCCTACACCTCTTTAACGCCCACATGAAGGAATTCTTGCCATCTCGCGTCTTGTTTCCACTCCAAGCCAATAGCTCGCTGATCTACAGCCGTCGGCGTTCACCCACACTTATACACCTGTCCAGTGACAGATCCCAAGGGCGCCACGAGCCACGTCCCGCTTTGGACCCTAAGAGGGCTGTAAGCTCTGAGGAGTCCATAGCCGGCCGAACGGAGTCAGGTTCTTTAACACAAACGCGAAAAATGGACATATCTGAGCCTCCAGGTAACCAAGAACAGCCCCAAGCAAAAGTGAAGGGCCCATGAACAAACAAAAACAATTCTTCACTCTTTGAGAGGGTATTGGTTGGGAAATTTTGGGAATAACTCCGCTGTCAATGGCCCTGTGCTTTGCCGGGGACCCAAAATGTCCACTCCCCTGGGCATTCCGGTCACTACGCAGCGTTTAACGTTGTCCTTGATCTCTTTCCACTTGCTCGGAGGGCCCCACGTTGCTGTCGGGCCTTACACGCTAACGTACCGCACACTCTTGATCGACCAGGGGCCCTCAACGGATTCCCTCCACTCGCCCCAAACGCTCTATACGCTATTGCCGGGGGCCACAGACGAGTTACTCTCGGTTGCTCAGGGGCGCTCCACATTGGTTTCGTGTTCTTTGCATTTGCTCGGAGTGTTCTGCGCTGTTGCTGGGGGCCATATTGGTTAGCCTGCCGATGCAGGCATCCTCAAGAGGCCTGCACATTTGTCTAGGGCTTTTTCCACTTGTTCTCATTTGCGGAGGGCTCTACATCCTAGGCGGGGCCCCTTCCTTTTACCTGCTCGGACACTCCTGACCGCACAGGGTCCGCCACCTTAGTCTTGGGGGCTTTAAATTTGTTTGCAGGATTCTACGTTATCGATGGGAGCGTCTTTGATAACCTGTCGCGGCACTCTCCATCGCTCAAGCACCGTCCCTGCTGGTCGGTCTTTTGGTTTCCCCTTTTTCATCAGAGTTGTTGACGGGGCCATACATGTTGGTCGGTTGGGACACTCTTGATTGCTCCGGGGGTCTCCACGATGGCCTTGGGCTCTTCCCATGAGGTCAGAAGGATCTTATTCTGTTGCCAAAAGTGCTGCACGTACTCGCGAGCCCCATCATTTCCGGGGCTCGCCTTCCCGCGCCGAAGAGCCTGGCTAAATTGATACATATGTACACAAATCCGAAATCTACAACATGACGAGTTGCTTTGGCGCCTAAGCTGCATTCAGCTGCTACCGCATGTGCTTCGATGCATTTTTGCGCGTCATTGCCTGAGAAGATTTTACGCACTACCGACGTCGTATATTTCATTCCCATTGGTTGTGGAATATGTGACATTCATAAAACCCGTGCATCACATTCTTAACAGAGTTTGAATATCAGCATGCTTCGCACTCCTTCATTGTAGTCAGAACAAAAACTCTGCATTAGTCAATGGCCACCAGCTGACAACAACATCGACCAGCTGGCTAGCCGCCGGAAACGGGTCGGTCGCAACCAGCCATCGGATCGATTGCCGTGCTCAATTTTGGTAATATTTGGCAGCCAACATTTACTCAAGTTACCATATTTTCTCGGAAATATTTAGCCTCAAAATGGTGGGATCCGCTGCGATTTGAACAAAATGCATGCGTTGAATAAACAAATGTATGAATGAATGTGGGAACTAATATTTGAATGAATGAAGGAACGAATGTGTGAATGAACAAGGGAACGAATGTATGCACGAATGAAAGAACGAATGTGTGAATGAATGAAGGAACGAATGCGTAGATATTTGTGCCGCGCTTAGTTGTCTTGGGTTGTGCACAGGAAGATGGTTTCCCGTACACAAAATAACAAACGTGAGAATCTTGCAATCCAAAGGCCACGATCCGATAATTTTGTGTGGGCCCCAAGCTATCGGGGAACCCAAAGTGTTGCGTGGCCATCCGTCGACGAAATCCTGAATCCGCCATCGCACCCGCCACCTTAACATTCAGCTGTCTCACGGTCATCACTTCGTGTCCCAATCAATCTTACCCTCTGGCCTTCATCAACCAACCCCTCCGCTCATCACCGCAAGCCTTCTGCTTCACTGTGCCTCGGCACTACCCTGCCACAGGTCGTCGGCGCGTGCATGTGTCCTGTGTCCTTCAGCCCTTACCAGCGAAGTTCAATTCTGGCCATCCGCGGAGATTGTTTTGTTTTCCCCCCACCAGGCAATTCCCGAGCTTCGCATATGGTAGCCCCTGGGACCTCGTGCCTCTTTCCTCTCTTATGAAATGCATGGCATGTTATATGAGCGTGAGCGTGACTTAATAATACCCGCTGCAAATTTCATGTAGTCACGTGACACTAAGAAGATAGAGGATACATGATGCTATTTGACGACACGCAAGAAATTACACGCGCACCGTTGAGTTCAACTAGGTTTTCAGTGATAATCAGGTTCTCCCCCCCCCCCCACATGCAATGTGAGGTCCTTCATGCACCATGAGTGAACCCTCGCACGACAATCACAGCGCATGTCTCGACTGCCCTACCCCTCCACTCGCCCCGCGCGCGGCCGAGTCCTTACTGTTCTGCTCCTTGATCTCGAGTGTCTTGGCCGGCGACGGCGGCCGCTTCGCCGGCTGGCGTACGCTGAGCTCTGTCTGCTGCTGGTACACGGCGGCGATTGCAGCCGAGCAGCGCAGCACCAGGTGGCCGTCGGCGAACAGATGCGGCTGCATCGCCAGCACCAGCCCCAGCCGGCGCGTCTCCCGCCCGTCCGCGTCCGTCCGCACCGGGTACTGCACCATCGAGCGGTACGGCGCCTGAGGACACACCGGGTATTGCACCAGCGAGCGGTACGGCGCCTGAGGACACACCGGGTACTGCACCATCGAGCGGTACGGCGCCTGAGGACACACCGGGTATTGCACCAGCGAGCGGTACGGGACTTGAGGATACACCGGATGCTGCACCAGCGAGCGGTGCGGCACTTGAGGATACACCGGATGCTGCACCAGCGAGCGGTACGGCGCCTGAGGGCATACCGGGTGTTACACCAGCGAGGGGTACAACGCCGGAGGACGTACCGGGTACCCCACCAGCGAGGGGTACTGCGCCTGAGGGCATACCGGGTGCTACACCAGCGGGGGGTACGGCGCCTGAGGACATACCGGGTACTGCACCAGCGAGCGATACGGCGCCTGAGGACATACCGGGTACTGCACCAGCGAGCGATACGGCGCCTGAGGACATACCGGGTACTGCACCAGCGAGCGATACGGCGCCTGAGGACATACCGGGTACTGCACCAGCGAGCGATACGGCGCCTGAGGACATACCGGGTACTGCACCAGCGGGGGATACGGCGCCTAAGGGCGCACCAGGTACTGAAACGGCGAGCGGTACATCACCGGTGGAAGCAACAGGTCAGGGTACTCGTGCGCCTGAAGACACAGAGGGTCCGCGCCAGCTAACAGTGTGGCGCTTAAGGTCACACCAGGTACCAAATCAGCAAGTGGGATGGTGCCTGAGGACACAGCGGGCTCCACGGGGTGGCATCGTGCCTGTGGACATATCGGGTGCATATCAGGGTGGTGCGGCGTGTAGGAGCACATCAGGTACCAACCATCGACATAAGCGGCTGACATGAGCCGGGCGCCGTGCCAGAGAAGAATGATGAGCTGGATGAGTCGACACTCGGATGACACCGCAAGGAGGTGGGGCGTTTTGGAAGCAGCAGCTTTGTGTGTAACGCCAAAGGAGACTCTACGGTCCACTAGACGCTGCAAGTGCCGGCGAGTGGTCGTCCGGTTAATGCGTGTCACATCATAGAGATGTTTGTCGATTGGTAACGCCTGCCAAATGCGACACATCAGCGTGTGCTGTCTGAAGCTGAAGCGTCTGACTCGCACTATCATCGCACGCATCAGGCGTCAGACGTAACACCTGCGTCATGCGCGAGCATCCAGTCAGTTGGCGCTCGGCACCTGAAGAATGCGACCGATCTGTTGGCGCAAAAACGTTAAATGCATGCGCTTGGTCAGTCAGTGTGGCGTGGCATCCGGCGAAGTCGCCCGGTAAATGGTGTGCGACACCGGACCCGCGCCGTTACGTTGTCTGGACTGTTAGCACCCTGGCATTCGATACAGTCGAATTTCTTTAATCACGGTGTAGTATGGTGCCTGCGGACGCGTGTCGACGAATGTCCCAGCAGTTCGCAGCGGTGACGCGCTCACGGACCGGCGTACTCTACACTGGGTATCGGCATCAAACAGATCACGGGCCTAATATCCCCGGCTCGATTTGTGCGGCATTGGCACACTTCCAGTTGGATTCAAAATTAGGAGGATCCTAAAATAGACGTCTACAACACAGCACAGCGTTTTGCCACGACGGAAAAGCTGCAAGGTACGCACAAACCCTCCGCGGATAGCCTCCTCGACCGTCAGCATGTCCCGGCGGCCTCAGCAGCGCCGCGCCGCTCCCCTCCGAGCACAATAAGCCCTCGGCGGCCAGTCTGTGAGGAGTCGCCCCGCTGGGGCGTGGGAGCCCTCACACCAGCTGCAGCTGCCGGGCGCCTGACCGAGCGTCGTTTGAATGTGTAATCTACGGAAATGGGAGAGGTCACGGGCCCGTCGAGAATTGTATGACCCGCTTCTTTGTAATGAGAACACGGGCGACGCTGAGCTGGCTGACGGCCTGCGCTCGTCCTGACCTTTCCTCAACAGATGAACAAGGTCGGGGGTGCTGGCATGCATTCCGTAGCGGGCACTAGCGGTGTCTTGTTCCCAATCACCCGCGATAAAAACACGCCTCTAGGAGCGTCGGGACATGCGTCGCATCATCTTTGACGGTAGTTCGTGCCATTAGGGGTCATTTTAAGTAGTTTTGCAATCTGGTCGTCTAAGTAGTGTAGCCGCTGTGCTAACACGCCCGCGCCGTCACGAAGACCGGGCCGGGGGCGGCGCGGTGCATGCGATCTGGCCGGCCGGCCGGGTGAGTTTACTGCCATGATGCCCTTGCCCGCTGGAGAGACACGACAGCACGTCACGGCCCGGTGAAACGAGGTTGTCACGCCGCACGCTGCCGCGGCCGGACGCCGCTCGCCGCCACCGCGGGTGACCTCGCCCCGGGCGCCTCACCCCGGGCGACCCACCTGCTGGCCGTTGATGTGCCAGTTGAGGAGCGCCGCCGGCTTGGAGCGCCGCGACGTGCAGTTGACGGACAGCTCGTCACCCAGCCGGTACAGGTCCTTGCCGCCCTCGATCTGCGGCGGGCTCTCCGGAGCGGCTGAGGCACGCGCACGACACCGGTCGATGAGCTGAGCAGCTGCCCAGCTGCAGGCGATGTTAGCCACCAGCGGCGGCGGCTCCCCGCCGGTCGCGGCGCAACAGGCGTGAGGAACAGGCAGTACAGGTTGGTGCCATCACCCGGCCGAATAATGATTTTGGCGTCTCGGCGCTATCTTGTTGTCTGTTTAGATGTCTGCAGGGCAATCTGGTCTGGGTCAAAGGACGCCAACATTTGATTTCAAGCGGTGCTATGAGGCCACCTGGGTTTACCCTGTGCCTTTACCTCGGATGATTTCGCACGTGCAACTTCACGCACGACAATGATATTACACGCTGTAAAGGTTGCACCAACACCGCCTTGGAACATCTTCAAAACTAAGTTTGGTGTGTTCCTGACAATGAATGCTTCTGCGCCACAAGTGCTGCATACCGGCCATTTTAGTTTATTATTTAATAGTCAAGTAACCAAGTTGGCGCAAAGTTTGATATTTGACATGATGCAGCATTCAAACGAATGACCATTCTAAAGGCCAGAGCAGCAATTAGGTTTAACAGAGAGTCACTTCACACCATCAGGACCACTGAACAAAACCGTGCCGCGCACAGAGTACCAAGAATGTTTGCCGGAGCCTCGATTTTCACATATTTACACCCTGCCTGCCAGTAGGGTGCAAAACAGGTGAAAATCCAGCCAAACGGAGTTGTACTACGACCCACTGAAGGTTTCGGAAATACTGACGGAAAGGTAGACATGATTGTAAAACGACCTTTCCTGGCAAACGCTGCGACGCTGTTATAGATCACGGTTATTCTAAAGTCGTCTTATATAAAAATACTAATGAAATTCATTCATACTAATTAAGCTGCCTGTTATACCGCGCCCAGCCGGGGAGGATCATCCCATACCGTTTTCGGACACGGGTAAAAAACCAACTCTGGCAGGCAGCAGCAGCAGCAAGTTTTCAGTGCCTGTTAAAGGATGTGTGTGTAGTGTTTTTGATTTTCCAAATACACGTATAAGGGGAGTTTTGCAACTATTTACGGACAATTTTGGTGCTTAAATGTGCGTTTGGGTCTTGTAACAGTTTTTACTTATTTCTTTTTATCGGTCGCATCGATGGCTGTGCGTGAACATATCCAACGCTAAAAATGAACCAGTCAGCAGACAGAAAAGGATGAATGCACTGGCTTATATGTGGCGAGTAACTGCGCGCTAGTGACGTGGCCATTATCTAGGTTGCTGCGGTCTCATGCGTACAGGAGACCGCTGACGGCATAGAGCAATACACACTGGAGGATCCCTTTGATTAATGTGAGGCGGAAAAATATGATGACCTGAACGCGCCTGGTGTATCAGCGGCATCGCAGCAGCATTTCAGCGCATGCACCTTGTTATTTCGAACACCGAATTCGGTGCACGTGCATTCGGAATACGGTCATTAATTGCAGGGTATAGGAATCTTAGCTGCCTATAGCCGCTGCCAAAACAACGCAGAACGATTACATTGTGACAGCGTCTAGTGCAGCCGATTGACACGACACAATACTTGTGCCTCATCTCAGTTTAAAGAAGGTCAACATGAATTAATCGCGATTCGTATCAGCTGACCAGCCTTACCTTACGGCCAACCCCGTACACCCGCAGCCCTCAGTTGAATGTAAAAAAGGACATCAACATAATGACCGCCACCATCGCGGCGGCCATCGCAACGTGATCTCATCCGACCCATTTGGGAAAACAAAAATGGTCAGAACTAACTCCACACCGTCTTAGCGCTTATTACCGTGCCCTCAATATTCGTCTTGTCGCCTTAACATGAGTTTTAACTGCATCTATCGGAACGACACTTTTTTTTACCTGGCTTAACCACTGGTGACCTCAAATTTAATCTAAGGTCAAATATTTAATGTACATCAGCATTTCTTGACGAGACATTCAAAACGGCATCTTTGTTTTTCTCATACCGCGTCTGGAAGTTGGAGATCTCAGGAGAAATCGACTTGCCCCTTCTGGCCGGGCGTGGTTGTCTCAGAGCCCGACCGGGCGCGAGTCAAGGATGTGGTGAGGGGTCATCATAGCTCCGAATATTAGTGGAACCTAACTTCCGAATATCGCGCAAAGAGCTCGATGGCACTCGGATATCAAGCCTACGATGGAAAACGCATTTGTCTTTATCCGTTATTATCTGCTTCGGGTCGTGGCCTCGGCGGCTATCTGCACAGGCCTGCTAGTGGAAAGTTAAGACATGTTTTACCCGACCTGTTTTATCACACGCCTGGCCGACAAAAAACGTTCACGGGTGAAATTCTCAACCTGCTTTATTGTAGGCGCAGTTCCCTAGAAATGTCCCCGAATAAACTTTCTCTGTCGCTGCAGCGGCACCAGGATGTGCATTTGCACTTTGCTATGACAGTCCTGAGTTTGAATTTACTGACAGCGTTGCAGTGTTCCTTGCTGCCCAGCTTCCAGCTTTTGTGCTTTGCTGAGTTCGGTGCGGCGCAGCTCTCCTCGCACCGTTCCTGTGTACCGCACAAGGCCTCTGGCGCTCAACTGGGTCACGTCTGAAATCGCTGCAAACGACTTAGTCTGGCCCGTCTTAAGCGTCATTCTGTCGCCGTTAAAAATGCAGAGTCTGACAAGGCATTAACATTTCACATTCAGCGTCCCCCCGGCCAGCGGAGCGGGGAAGGGGGGGGGGGGGGGGCTTCGATCGCGTATGCGAGGGCGTTGTCGGAACCCTGACAGACATGCCACACGAATTAGACGGCTGGTGAGTCCGGCTTCCGTGGCGAAGTCGGTCAGGCGCAATGCCGGCGCTCGCCTCAGAGAGACTACGATCGATTTAATGTGCCAGAAAATATCATTATCTGCCCTAAAGCTGAGTCATGTCGTCGTTTGCCCCGTCATCACTTATCATTAGCTTCATCAGATGAGACTCAGTAGAATTGCTGCTGACGAAAGTTGGTTGGGAAAGGCCACCTTGGCTGACTGGACTGGCCGCTCGGCTCGAGGTGCGCAGACTTGACGAAGTGATCCGACGAACACAGTGGAGATGACTGAATCGTGCTGGATCTGATGGGAACCTGCTATCATGCGCGCGCTGCATGAAACGAACTGAAATGCTATTGCACTCGCATCAACCAAGAAAACGAGCGGAGGGCAGCAAGACAATGACAACGAAACTGAGATGCAAAGAGGGCAGAACTGTCAGTGGTAGAACCCAAAACCCCACAGGTCTGAATATGCGCGGCGAGATGAATATCTATGCCACATTTCGGTCCAGATGAGACCTCCGCGCGTGGTGCGGCGAGAGCAAACTTGTCCCATAGGTCGATGACGACGGTCGGCTCCGCACCAAACTTTCCAGAGGAGCAAAGCACATCGGCTCCCACGTGCTGATCGATTCCAATCTGCTGGTTGTGAAGAGACGGATAGATTGAAAGCCAGAATATACAAACCAGTAGAACTTTTCAACCCAAATTTAGTGATGAACGATGATGAAAATGGTTTTTCGAGCGAGTGTTTATCCGCGACGTTACATGATTGCAACGACTTACACGGTCGCACCATCAGCGCCTGCTACTGAAACCCGACTGATTTTTGCACATTTCAGGCAAGATAATTGGGGAATTTTGTACGATGTCTCGTGCGTTTCTAATAAACGCCGTTGAAAATCAACTGCAGCATCAATACGACAGAAAGCCTACGCCACATGAAACTGCATGGATCCACCAACTATTCAAATGGATAGATGGAATACACCGCTATCCGTTCAATGACATATTAACGAGTGACCACTCTACCACTGTTTCCCGCAACGCTGCGTCAAGCCACATTATCATTTGCTGTATTTTCGATACCTGTTGCCCGTTACTCACCAGACGTACGTTGGCATCAACCAAGCGCAATGTAAAGGCCACTGCGAAAAAACAATTTAGACTTACATCTCACTGAGACCTGCATCAAAGAGCAGGACGTACATAGGATTTCAGGACGGAGGTGGGGCGCAACTCAAAATTTTCCACTGAGAAATGGTTTAACGCGGCGTAGGAGTGCACAATTCCTTGCGCTTCATAAAACAGCACTCTGTATTCTCAGTCATCTAATCTTTAGGTGTGAACTTGAAATGTTTAGCTGCGAATACCTTATCATGTGCATATTAATCCATACTATCGTATCCATTACCCAGGTATGCCCGTGCATCCCAGCAAGTTAATCACGTTTATCGTGTCTTTGATCGCGTCATTTGTCTAACCACGTAGCCCAAATCTTTGTGAATCCTAAAGACCAGTCGACTTTGACGCCTTACCAGCTTCTTCTGGTACATCCGTATACTTGATCATACCTTACCACCTCTATTCCTAGCATCCCTTTCATTTCCCTAGTCATATCAGCCCTTTGATTTTCCTATATATCCATGTTATCGCGACAGGATATACGGGACCACAAAAATGCATGGCTGCACCGGCTTGATAACGTAATACAATGAAATGCAACATAATAAAATTATATAGAGATTCTGTGAGGTATGGGCGGTGGGGGTGGGGTGCCATATTTCCCTCTCTTTGTAAGACGCAAAACCTGGGGTTTTGTGGAGGTGTACGCAGGGCTGATTTTTTTCTTTTTTTTGTTGCGTGAAGTGTGATGAAAAATGTTCGTGTTGCGTGGGTGGAGCCCGTCCCCTGCCTACTCCCTGGGTCTCATTTGGCCACCCAGAAGCCCCTGTGACGGATAAGTGAGTCTCAACTGGCGAATGTTGACATTTGAACCGCTTAAGGGACTTAAGCTGCTCACGGCCTGTTTCCCACTTGCAAGTCTCCTCAGCACACAAATATCCTCCGCACTACCCGGGCGCTCTTGCAGGGTTTTCGCGTGGCGGTTAAGATGCGCGCCGGGAAACCAGGGGTACATGAGGGCTTGATTCTCCTCGGTGCCGCCCTATCTGCCAGGGTGATGTCATGTAAGCAGGTGACGCCACACGGCCTCAGAAGCTCCGTGCGACGTAAAACCCCAATGGTAACATCCGTTCACGGGCCGCACTGGCCTCTCGACCTTCTGTGTACTCAGGTCCCTCTGGTCGCTCACGAGCCGTTTTACTTCATCAGTGCCCTTCTGGCCGCTGATGGCCCCTCTGGCTACTGACGAGCCTTTTGTGGGTGCGGCCCCTTTCTGACAGCTTAAGGTACTTAACTGGTCGCCCAGACCCCCGGTCACGAAGAGGAATTTTTGATCACTTGTGTGCCCATCTGGCCATCAAGGTTTTCGTTTGGTTGCTGATGGCCTTGTGACCACCTAGCGACCCAACTGGTTACCAGAACACATATCTTGAACTGAACGACCTTTTCGGACGCCTGTACGGGGAAGGGAAGGTTACAAGTGCTCAGGAGCTTGTGGGACTACTGAGGGACCACCCTCGCGCCACTAAAGAGCCCTCTGTTTTCTGAAATGATCTCCGAGTTTTCAGGGCGCACGGTCTGTTCAGGGCCTTATTAGGACCTCAAAGAACTTTACATCCACGTGATCCTCTGCATAATCGCGGTCTGTCGAGCTGCATGGGGTCTATTTCTCCTCTCAAATGTCACCTGGTTACCACGGAGCATCTCAGGTGATTTCAAAAGCGGTGCAATCTTATACCTGATCCTGTTAAAGAATCCCCGCCTGCGAAAAGTGTGCCAAAAGGCTGGGCCCTGGATCGGCCAGTAAAATCGGAGTGCAGGAAGAAATAGCTGTTCCTATGAACTCCCTTGCAAAGCTTAAGGATTATCATTGACGATAAAATTATATTTTGAATATCTTGGGTTTAATCTTGCTGCTGATGACATATTAAGTAAAGTCTTCGAACACCTTCTGCGCGGAAAGCACATCAAAGTGCGGCTCAAATGGGCGGTGCATGTCGGTGTTCAGTCACGAAATTATGTGGTGGCCTCAAGTACCGCTCTCCTCTAGCCACTTTTTGCTGCGCTACGCTGTAATGCGATTCGAAACAGAATGGAAATTCCAAGTGGCATAGGAACCAAAACCACGCTCATATTGACGTAAAAACCTGCCGGCCACAAATCATATGGAGTTAGAATATCAAACGATGGCGTGTTTCAAAGTAATTCCCGGCGAGGAGCGCAAATCATTGACTGAAGCTCAAGTTTTCATCCGCCATGAGGCGGCGCTCCGTCCCGTCTCGCACGTAGGCAGCAGAGTGGGGCGCTTGGCGGAATCTCATTGTTTGTAACGGTTTGCTACTTCATAGCCTCGTTCAACGTCATATCGCATCCCAAAGCTAAGCAACGAGAAGTCGCCAGTGTGAAGCGGTCTGAAGCCTAGCTCACGCTGACAGCTAAACACTCGATCCTCACATCATTGCTCCTGGATCTCTCTTGGAAGGTCACGAGCATCACACATCATCTAAATGTGATCAGGTCTGACGCAACGGAATGCATCATAACTCACGATGATCAAACAACCCCCGACATATTTAAATAATTGTATAAAGTGCATATGTGTGCATCATAACTCACGATGATCATACAACCCCCGACATATTTAAATAATTGTATAAAGTGCATATGCAATGGAAAGCCCATGGTTCCTGCCGATGTCTCTAAAAACCGTTCCTGAAGCTCCTACAAAGTGACAAACGAAAACCTAATTTAGTCAGGCTACGCAAAGATCATTTCTAGAAAATTCCCCAGATTGCGGAACATTAGCCTCGGCGTTTTTGGGTGCACCTTCAGTAAATACCAAGGGGGCGAGAGCGAAGACCCTCGCAGAGAAGGTTTGTACACTTGTGGCCAACATATGCAACTCTGTACACAAAGCTCGTACAGACGCATGCCCACGACGCGTGCGGCGACACCAACTCCGACTTCACGCACCAACAACGAGGATGTGGCCGGTGACGATGACCGTGTCGAACGACGGCGCGTCCACCGAGACCTCGCAGCCGTACTTGCCCGACGTGGCGAAGTCCACCTGGAGCAGGCGGACGCGCTGCCGGCTGGAGCCCGCCATCTGTCGGGAGCACGCATAGGCGGTCAGCAGGTGGACACGCTGGTGGACCGGTCCTCCGACCAGAGAGGTCATGCGGCGCCAATCAATGCGTGGACGAACTGGTAGCGTTGCTTCCTCCTCTGTGTGGGTTCATGTGTCTAAAGCCGACAGGTGGATACACTGACAGCTGTAGTCCTCAGTCCGTCGAGACGTTACATCTGAGAGCAAGATATGACGAATTTCGGAGGGAGCAACCTTGCTTTTTTGCCCGTCAAATAGATTAGCTCTTCAGTGTCATCATGGTGTCAGGAGGAAATGCCATTTCTTATGACACTAGTTTACGGAAAAGTCTTGCTTGAGATGAGTTTAGATGGTGTAATATCACCATGATGTCGCTAGCACACCGCGCGTTTCCAAAGCAAAGACAAGTAACAGGTGCCATTTCCGTAACATGGAAACGGTACGCAAATTCCACGCTTCGGAGCTTATCCAGACACGTGCCTGAGCCAACATCCGGAAACATCTCAAAACGTCTCGGCCAATATCCCTGAAATCAGAGCATCAGCGACACGGAGGGCAAACAATTTCGTCAAAGACAGCCTGAAAAATCGTAGTGGTGCGACCGCCCGCATTGGCACGCGGCTGATCACTCAATCGAGCGTGGGCCGTAAACTGGTGGCTCTGAGCCGTGTTGAAGGTTTTCGTTAGATATCGGCAGCCAGATTAGCTACAAAGCCGGTAGAAAGTTCAGCGCTCCTCTTCTCAGAAGAGCGCCAGTAATCAGGCGTCGTGCTGTTCGAACCGGGGATGGAGCGCGGAGTCCAATGTATAGTGTAGAATATAGCAGCAACGACACACATTTCATGACTAGGCCATAGAGTCACGAGTTAAGGTCACATTTTTCAGGCCCACAGCTTAGCCATGCGCGGTACAGTCTAACTAGAATCAAGACTCTGCAATACTGTGTTAAAACCAACGGCACACTGCTCAATATGACTACATTCAAACAAAATATGCAACATATAGGTAAGAATAGGTCACTGATCTAAAATGACCCTGGCCAACATATTGCTTTTGAGAACTACTGCCTAACGTAATCTTTGTCGCGTATTCAAATGCAAAACTCAAAGCAGCTTTCCATAATTTTTATCACCATGACCTTATAAAGGTCAAACAAAGCCACTGAACTTGAATGAGCATGTGACCTTTTACTTAGAACAGGTATCTAGGTTCTGATTACACTTAAGAGACCAACTTTGAGTTTGACCTTGTTTGACCTTATTGGGCCCGAAGGTCATGACATGGGAGACTGAGACTTTGACCTGTGAGTTCACGTACACACAAATACACCTCGTGAGTTTTGTGTCTTTGGCTTTCTTAGTTCCTGAAATCTCAGAGGGTCAAATTGACCCCCACCCGAGCGAAGGGAATCCAACCGGCCACCCGAGCGCATGTTAAGCAACTCGGACTCATCCCGCCACGGGTGGGTGGATCGGAGGGCAGGCGATTTAACCAAATGAGCTATCGGGATGGGCTTCAGGTATCTCTATAAAAAAAACAGTTTGATTAGCTCCATCACTCTGAACAACATGTAGACATATCTGAAATAGCTTTAAAGCGAAATGTGTAAATTCCAACAAACCACTGATGGGGTTGGTGGAAGGGGTGTAGAAAAGCAATTGGTGGATTTACCTGAGCGTCCAAAGTTAGTATAAAAACTCAAAGACATGTGAGACGGGGAAACGTCTGCCCTGTCATGGTATGATAAATGTCAGACAGGCCAGTAGGCCCGTACAGGACTGTCCAAATCCGTATGCGCACGACTATAAGCGAGCCGTGCCCTGAGACGTTCCAAGTATTGTGGCGTTATATAACTATTGTGTCGCATACTTGTGAGTGATACGTTTCCCCAGCGAAATGGTGTATCAATAAAAGATTCCGAGCAACTGGGAAGCGAGAGCGATTACGCCGATTAGCGTTAGACATAGCGTATCGCCTTCATTCGTAATTAAGCTTTCCAAGACACGTTTTTATAGCCACCTCGTATCAGGCCCGGGCTAGCCGTCCAGCAACACCATCAAGACGCGCCTCATCTGTCCTGCCGCGACAATTAAACGGCTCTCGCTCGATTTGGCTGGTGGGGAAATCTCCCGGTGTTACGGTCCGTTAGGCGGGACCGTTCACTCGGATATGCACCATCTGTTGAGGTCGCATTAGGTGATGACAGGAAGCTTTTTTAGGGGGCAGCATCAGCAGCTGAGCATCCCATGTTATATCTCACGGCAATTGCTTCCTCTCTGACAAACGTGGGATACTATATCACGATTTGGCAGCAATGGAGACATGGCTCAGACGCGGTGCCGCGTTTGGTGCGTGTGGTTTTAAGGCTCACAAAAACGACATTTAGCTGACACTGCGAGGGAGAATATGTTTTGGTAACCAGTTTGCGAACTGACGGATCTAATTTACAAATTATTTATAAATTGATGAGGCAGGTGCATGACGAAACCCTGCTTTGGTGAGATAGGTGGGTGGCCGAAATGTACATAAGATGCATTTGAATCCAGTATCGTGTTCTTAATGCGTTAAAAACACTTCATATCAGGTTGTAAAAGATGGACATGAATGATACCCAGCAAAGGTGTTAATCTTCAATGCCACAGACACAGGGAATCGACAGGTAGTAGTAGATTAACGTTTAGAATAGTGAAGGTAGTGTGCGACAGCGTAAGACATGAGGCCAAGGTGGCAAGGCTTTTCGGAAATTGAAGGGCCGTTTCACCCTGCGAGGCAAACATACCATGTTTTTCAATAAAAAATAAAAGGAAGGGGGAAAGGGAGGCGTATATATATATATATATATATATATATATATATATATATGTACATAATCCACTGAGAATGTTGTTGACACTCGTTGACGTGAAGAAGTGCTGAAGCTATTCAACTTTTGTAAACGAGAAGATCCATTCCCTGATAATGCACGAGTCGTTGCATTCAAGCCAATTACGTTCAGACGAGTGAACGGGCTGGCCTTTGCGACGGCGCCGACCTGCCAATTGGAGCTCTCTCCGCTCGGTGTGTCGTTATCGCCAGTGATGTCATATTTGCAATGCACTTTAAGCTAAATGATCTCAAGTTCAGCAAGTACTGTATCTTAAGCTTTCATGGGATATGATCGCGAGCACCTCTTTATGATCGCGAGCATCCCTTTTTGTTCCGAATCTTGGCTGTCCCGCTGCAAAACCCATTGTGAAGTTAAACACCGCTATTAAAAAAAGAAACAAAAACGATTGCTTGCGGCTACATATACTCCTGCGTTTTCGCGGTAAATTCTGCGCGAAATCACCTTTCAATTGTTCACAACGATGTAACCAAGTAAAATGCATCCAAACGACATAGGTGACGCGACCTCGGCAAATTTGATACTGTCAGGCCTGCTTCATCATTTTCTCTTTGCATTTGGAGGCCGTCCTGTGGCTGTATCGATTTTCCGTCGCCTCCCGGTGGACAGATATGAATACAAAGCGTCTGGCCGGGCGGCGGCGACGGCGCCCCCGGGGTTGGGGAGGGGGGGGGGGGGGCGCCGGCGGCCGGCGGTGAATCGGCCCGGTTCGGTATGCCCGAAGCGCACCCACTCACATCGACTCGGATGCCGGGCAGCGGGTACATCCGCTTGGCGATCTTGGGCGTGGCTATAAAGTTGTAGAACTCCTCGTTGTCCTTGTACCACTTGACCGAGTAGAGAGTCTCGTTCTCGAGCCGATACCGGCAGACGAGGTCGGCCGTCTGACCCAGGAGCAGGTGCGATGGGATCACGTGGTTCTGCATCTGCAGCGAACCGGCGCCTGCCGACACACACGTGACCGGGTCAGGTCAGGCGAGAGCTCAGCTGGCTGGTCGCAGGACGCCGCGTGTTCAGCAGGGAGCCAGTGCAGCTTGACCATCTGGAGATTACATCGCGCATGCAACGTACCCCTTGACCGGGTCAGTCGAGCGTGGAGGCCCTCGCCTGAGCGAAATGTTCAACGAGCAACATGTGAAGATTAAAATATCAACATGATTCATTCAGGCTCATCAGCTGGATGGGATGGAAATAGGCATCACGATCCGTATGTTCATTTTATGGTTCGAGATAGCGTACCTACAATCCCACTAAGTGTCATAGTAGTACCGGACCGCGTAAATGTAGTGGTGCAGTGCAGATTATCTTTTCAAAAGATATTCTTGGTGGTCAGCTAAAAAGCAAATTGCTGTCGAAGACGCGTGGCTTGCCATAAAAATAGCGTTCTGTTTTCCATCCGAGCTTAATCCTAACATACCCGTATCGAATCTCGAGCAAACGGCTAGGTTTGTGCAATCCAAAATCTCGATTTCTTCGATAGCCGGGATATCAACTCATTTAAGTCAGCCACCCGAAGTAAATCAGGACCACTGTGCTGGCATTCTGCAATGGAAAGCACGTCGCCACGTTTTTCTCACAGAAATCCTTTTTGCAGGGCTCTCCGTCGCTAACATTAGCGAAAGCAATGTCTGTCTCGGGTATCTAGCCTATCGCAGGCCCTCACAGTCCGTGGGAGGCCGTCCATGTGACGAAAGAAAACATTTGTCCAGACTTTCCGTATTTTTCCAAGGCTACCGCTGTTGAATATCAATGTTTTCCAGGGCCGAAACGAAACCGAGAGCTATCTATCTCCAGCGGCGGCTAGATGTGTGCCCCATAAATCTTCTCGTCGAATGGGACCAAGATTTACGGCTTCTTTTGCCACAAACAGTTTCAATTAATCCAGCCAAGATATCGAAACAAAATACGACCGTCCGCTCGACGTTCGACCCTGGAAAAACACGAACGCCAGTGGGCCGGGGCTTTGTCTCCCAGCCGGCCACTGCTCAGCGGGCTCGCCGGCGGCCAACACTCCGCAAGACGGCAGCGCGAAATACGGAGTTCCGGAAAGGAGAGTCCGACTGCGCTGCAATCGGAGCCGGCGCCCTTCGACCTCCGGTCGCTGTTGCCAGCGGCGGCAGTGGCGTGCTGGCGAACAATGGACGACTGAGGCTGCCGAGATAAGGCGGCCCGGCGGGACGGCGGCCTGACCGGGGGGACGTCGCGCCGGTGACCCAAACGGCTCGAGGATGCCGGCGTGCCCGCGCGCCCAGCGGCGGTCGCGTACTTATGCTGCTCTGTTGTACCGGCAGATTTGATTCGGCCGCTGGTGGACGGGTGGGCTGGCAGTTGCGCGTTGTGGGGTTTTCAGAGTGTGGCTTAAAGAAAGGGTGCATCAGGTCGGACCATTTCTTCCGCGCGGTGAGCGAAAAAAGCTTTGAAAGGCAGCAATCCTCTTCCACCGGCTGAGAAATGCATTTCCTTTTCTGGTGATGTCAATTTCCTTTTTCGATCACACACACTCGCATACCTACCCGACGCCCAACTCGGCCACAATCTTTATCTTTACAACTTCGTGCCTGGGGTATGTTAATGGCGTTTCGTACATGGGATACGTCACCATTGCAGCGCAAATTCCGGCCAACTCCAGCAAACTCCGTCCAAGGTAATCAGGAAATGTTTCAGCGTTATAAGATCAGAAAACTGTTTCAGCGAACAGTGCTGGTGCTCCATGCTACTACAGGGTGCACCCACACGTGCAGATGAATTCCTTGGCGAGCAATCTTTACCGGAAAACTAAACCGATTTCACGAAGGCTGCCGCTCGCTGCGGTGGTCCCTCGATGTGTGCTGAACATCGCCATACGCAGTGAAAGAGTGTGTTACACGCATTGATGCTTGGATGTCTGCACGTCCTCATGTTTCTGATTTGCTGCATTCAATGTGTTCCCATTGTTGAAACGCCTGAGAAGTTCTGTTGACCCGGCCTGGCGGCGCCATTTGGCTTTAACTGGGGAACCGCGATGAGGCGCTGAGGAGACGGACATGTTAACATCCCCTGCGGCATTCCTCGCCAGTGATGGTGCAGACGGGAAGACGGTTACCATTCGTGACCACAATCACGCTTCACTTGTCACCATACGCGCGATATTGTCCCGAACGTGGCACTATGCGCGGCCTGAGTCGCTGTGGGTTTTGAACAGGTTTGGTGTCGGAGGGGTACCTCCATCTATCGTTGGGGCGCGCCGGTGGGCGGACTGTCCTCGGAGCTAATGACCTGTCATGACCCGGGCCGCCTGGTGCTGACACTGATGGAGCCACTGCGGAGCCACCGGCGGCCATCATCGCGGCAGGCGGCAGCGGCATCGAGTTGCAGAGAACGTCACGTCGCGGCAGACGGCAGGGGCATCGAGTTGCAGAGAACGTCACGTCGCGGCAGGCGGCAGGAGCATCGAGTTGCAGAGAACGTCACGTCGCGGCAGACGGCAGCGGCATCGAGTTGCAGAGAACGTCACGTCGCGGCAGACGGCAGCGGCATCGAGTTGCAGAGAACGTCACGTCGCGGCAGGCGGCAGGGGCATCGAGTTGCAGAGAACGTCACGTCGCGGCAGACGGCAGCGGCATCGAGTTGCAGAGAACGTCACGTCGCGGCAGACGGCAGCGGCATCGAGTTGCAGAGAACGTCACGTCGCGGCAGGCGGCAGGAGCATCGAGTTGCAGAGAACGTCACGTCGCGGCAGACGGCAGCGGCATCGAACTGCAGATGACGTCAGATCGCGGCAGGCGGCAACACCAAGCTGCAGATGACGTCATGTCGCGGCAGGCAACAGCAGCATCAAACTTTGTTTTTGCTGGTAACGCTTAACTTTCTGAGGTGCATATCGGAATAAGTAAACAACCGAACTATTTTCTGGGGGAAATTCTTCCGAAAAGGGCGCAGTAATTGTTGCGCAATAATTGTGATCTTAAAGAAAAAGTTTGGGGTTTTGAAAGTTTGAACATTTGTATGAGGTTTTGAAATGCAACAGCCATATTCAAGACCTTTTGATGCAGCTAACGGCCATGCCCTTCCTAGGACTTGAAACACTTTAGTTCCCTAATTAGGAGGCTGCAAAGATGTGCGAGAGTAATTGTGGGCAAGTATTTCAAGGTCATCTTTGCATTCATGACGCCATAATAATGCCATTAAAATCCTATCATTTCATAACCCATGCTGCGATCAAGACTCAAACAAATATGACGGTTGAATAGTTCATAGCTGGCGTTCGTAACCACGATTTCCAGATATAACGGCTGTCAATTGGCTCTCAGTCAATATTGCGCAAGGTACGATGGCATAATTAAAAAAAACGGCGCATCGAACAGCATCTTTATTAAGCAGAAAAATTGTCACCTAGATCATGTACTCTTTTCTACTTAAAAATAGAATAACGTTGATAACTGAGCTTGTTTCATTCCATGTGATGCTTGCTTCAATATCTTCGAATGTGAAACGTTTCCTTTTAAGTGAAGTACTGTCAGCCAGCTGTTAGCTGGGCATAGGTCAAAGCATGGGTTTATGCGACGATTGCCCGGCAAAAGTACAAACAACGCAAAGTCGGGGCAACGCCATATGCCCCGCACCTCTTGCTCAGTGCCATAGCTCCAGCAATAAGAGATCCACTTGTGCGGCATGAAAAATACAGGCGCCACAGTGCAGGACTGACAGGCTGTTGATCAGCATAACACTTGCGTCGAATACTCAAGCCGACACCGCCTCCGTGACAATTGGTCCATTTCGTCTGCAGCGTGTCTATTGAAGCCACCCCGCGCCGTCGTGGCAATTGACGGTCGGCCACGGCCGGCGGTCACAAATTGAAAGTGTTATGCTCTCGCGCGCTGCCTGTCCGATACCACTCAATGGCCTCATTCAATGGAATCGTTTCGCGGCCGCCGCCTGCCAGAAGTAGGGCGCGCTCCACCGAATCCCAACGAATCAGCCAATGAATGGATTTTAACTATTATTGGCCACTGGAATGAGATTAGTGCCTCGGTTGCGGTTTGAACTGGTCGGCGGAACGAGCACTGAACGGCTCACTATGGAAATAGACGCGGGTACCATGCACAGAACGTCACGTGTTTTAAGTGACCGGCAACTAAAGGGCTTGCAAACTATAAAACGGTTAAGCTAGTAAGCCCGCTGGGATATCCAGTGTACAAGAATGGCCCCGGTCCGCGTGCGCAATGGTAAGCAAAGAATAGCTCTAAGCGCTTGACATCAGTTCAGATCGTCACCGTACGTCATATGAGCGATCGCGTGCTTATTTGGTCATATTCCTAGCACGCAAATTATGAAAACTACTCCAAGAGAACATGTCAGTACGCAGTAGAGTGGCTCATTCAGGCGCACATTGTGCAATTTGCGCCTATGCACCTTATCTTCTGGAGCTGGATATGTATGTTGTCATTACAAACTTACATTCATTTATATTGAACTATGCGTATTTGTTACTCGCATGTCTATTGGCCAACGCCAGACTTGGGGATTTTACAGGCCGTACTGAGGGCTTCTAGAATTACTTCCGAACCAAATAACACAAATATCTAGATAACAATCTCAGCAATCATTCCAAATCTATTAACACCTTGAATCTCAACGTGCTGCACGATAAAGATCATATTGTGCAGAAAGTTAGAATGTTATACTATATAGTTTCGAAATCGCTTACATGATCTCCAGATGCCTAAGGTAAGTAAAAACATGTATATACACTGGGGTCACAAAATAACACTTTTTGTTAAAGCATGGGTGCCTAAGCCCGGACTGCTTCTCCGGTTCAACGCGAGTTCAGTGGTGTCATTTTTTTCGAACTTATGTGTGTTGAAGGGTAGGCAAATAGTTTAAAATCGATATATGCACTATTTTGACTATAAAGGGCCCGAAAATGCTGATGTTTAATATTAACATCGATCTGAACGCCACAAT